CCCCCCGCCCCGCCCCCCCCGCCTCGGGTGAGAGGCTGGAAGGAAGTCTGAAAAAATATTAAACAAAACAAAAAGTCCCATATTAAGAGAAAAAGTCAAATTTATGAAAACATATTGAACTGTGAGAAAAAAAACTCAAAAAATGTCCAGAAAAGAAAGTCAAAATGTCAAAATGTCAAAATGTCAAATAAAAATAAAAAGTCAACATTTTTAGAAAAACGTCAAATTCTTAAAAAAAAATCTAATTCTGAGAAAATTTTAAACTATGAGAAAATAATTCAGTTTCAATCAAAAAGTTATAAATATGAGAAAAAAGTCAACACCCAGCAGAGCTGCCCCCGCCTCGGGTGAGAGACTGTCAAAGTCAAATTGTGAAAAGAAAAGTCCAATTCAAAAATAAAGTGAAATAAAAAAAAGTATGAGGAAAAAAAGTCAGATTTCTTTAAAAAAAAAAAGTCTGTCTGAAATAAAATTGTATGTCAAATTAAATTATATAGTTTTTAATATATATATTTATAAATCTTAATTTAAGGTGTTTTCTCTCTCCCAACAGAAGCCGCTAAACCAGTGCCTATTCCCAGATCAGTTCCCCTCCCTGTGGACCCCAGACTGATGCAGGGTCAGCAAGAGGGTGAGCGCACACACACACACACACACACACACACACACACACACACACACACACACACACAACACACACACACACACACACACACACTCACATATTTGTAAGTCTTTATTTTCCTGTGTAATTCTGAGAAAAAAAAAATCACATTTTAAGAAAAGTTAAATTATGAGAAAAATTAAAAATTATGAAAAAAAAGTTAAATTATGGGAAAACTATTAAAGTAAGAGAAAAAAGGAGAAATTATGAAAAAAAGTTAAAATGATGAAAAATATTCTAATTCTGAAGAAATATTAAACTATGAGAATTTATTGTAATTTCTTTAAAAAAAAGTCAAGATTGGTAGAGTGGAAGAGTATCATAAAATAAAGAGGCAAGCACATATTAAATTATGAGAAATAAAGTCAAATTCTGAGAAGAATTAAACTAAAAAACTTTAAAAAATATTAAACTATGGGAAAAAAAGCAATAAAAAATTCACAGTTTAAGAAAGAATTGTGAAAAAGTGGAAATTCTTTAAAAAAAAGTCAAAATATGAGAAATGTTACAAAAAAGTCAAATTCTTAAAACAATTGAATTCTGTTTTCCCAGATCAGGTTTTGTTCAACATCTCATGAGCTCAGAGCCGATGCCTTATTCTGCAATGTAAACAAACTCTAAACTCAGCGTGAGTTCTCCGAGAGATTCTTCTTTCTGCCGTCTCCCCACGATGAGAGCCTCCTGGGGGGATGAAACCTGAACCAGTGTTTGGTCAGCTTGTTTCTGCCGGCCCCCGCCCTTCAGTCCCCGAGGAGCAGCCTCTGATAGTGGGTGTGGCTCTGCAGACTCTGACCCCCCCTCTCTCTCTCTCTCTCTCTCTCTCTCTCTCTCTCTCTCTCTCTCTCTCTCTCTCTCTCTCCAGGAGTGCATCTCACCGCTGATGACTTCACCAAGGCTCAGAAGCTGTGTAAATACGCTGGCAGCGCTCTTCAGTACGAGGACGTGAGCACAGCCGTGACTAACCTGCAACAAGCTCTGCGCCTTCTCACCACCGGACACGAGTGAAGCCTTCCTCCTCCTCCTCTTCCTCATCCTAAATCATAACTACAGTTTGAAGAGCAAAGCTTCATTAACATAACATTTTTGCTGATATCAACATGCATGAGTGTGTTTCTATAAACCATATCAGCAACAACAAGGTTTAATGTCATTTATTCAAAAAAGAAAATTAAAACATTGAGACATAGCAACAGAAATGTTTCATCAAATGACATCAAACAAATTAAAACGAGCTCGATTAGAATAAGTAGAAAAAGTGTTTAAAACACGTTGACACTCCGAACAAACCCTCCTCTGACTCTGATCACCTTTGATTAACATTTACCAAACTTTATTTTGATTGTTCAGCCTTTTTACGGCGGAGGATCAGGGCCACGTGAAAATACATTTGATTTCTAACCCAAACATTTTTTAATTCTAAAATTAAAGTAAACATTTTCAGATTAAAGTTTGAATTCTGACATTAAAAAAATCTAAATTTGGAGAAACGTCAGAATCTTGAGAAAAGTCAGGATTTTGAATTTCCACAGAAATCCCCCCAAAAAAATCCCTTTTGTCCAGATCTCAAAAACCTTTTCTCATGTCGACCTAACCCTCTTCTGTATTTATTCTGTTGACCTGATTCTGTCAAAGGATCCTTCGCTGATCAGCTGCTCCGCTTTAAAACTCACTGTGACTCCGAAAAAACTGACAGGCGATGAAAGAAAAAAGTAAACTGTAAAAAGTTAAAAAAGTTTACAAACCGTAAATATTCAGATTTTAAAATGTCTTCTCTTATCTATAAAACGTCTCTCCTCCTATTGGCTAGCCCACAACCTTCTGTAAGTGATTGATGGTTTAGGGGCGGGACATCTCTAACCAATCACAACAGCAGTCTCTAACCCCATGTTCTCCCAGATAAAGTGCTCCTGAAAACACACAAATGAGACGTGAATGAATCTGCTGCTGGAGACCTCCTCTCACTGCTTTCTGTTTTGCTCTGAAGTATTTTATTTTGACGTGTTTCCATCCGTCTCTGTGTGTACCATGATCTTTTCTTTGTTCTTCTGGACTTTAAACTCAGATCTGCCAGAACCTCCGTTGATTTATTTGAATAAAATTGTTTGAGATGTTCACGGTGACTTCTCTGTTCTCGGGCTGCACTCACTCAACACGTCTAACACATGGAAGACTTTGTTCTGATGATATCTGTGAGCTTAGATATAAAGACCTGTTTTCCACCTGTGATTATCAATCATTCAACAGAGAGGATTGTGGGGTTTTTCCATATAAACAATGAATTATTATTCTTCTATTCTGATTATAGTTCAGGTTTTGAAAATAAATTAAAGTAATATCATTGAAACCGTTTTATAGAATCAGAATCAGATTTATTACCAAGTTTAACACATTCATGAGAGCAACACAAGCGTCACTTCCAAGCGACAATTATGGCTCCGCCCACTTTTGGGGGAAAACCACGTCCCCAGGGATGAGGAAATGCAACACACCACATTTGGAATTGGTATAATTATAAAGGGTTTATTTTAAATATCAGGGTAAACAAAGGAGTCTAACTGCATGCAGGGAAAATAAATACTAATACACGAAATAAGGAACAAAACAAAACCTCACTTTAAAAGTGGTACAACAAAAGGATTCTGTACAAAAAACAGCTGAACTAAAGGCAACAGTCACAACATCCTAAACTACTCTAAACACTAACTAACACACAATATCACACGAGTTTAGCCACAGTTAACAGATCTGTCTCAGGAGCAAGTAGCGAGAGGCGTCTGTCCACATGTCAGAGCCTCCAGAGTGAGGATTGTCCCCAGGCTTTGTAGTCATCTCCAGCAGGTGCGCGCCGGCTGTGCGCTGCGATTGGAGTGCGTCGGGCCCGGCGTGCTCCAATCACAATCTTCAGGAGGCGGACCAGGAGATGGCAGCCAATCACGTCAGGGCAACCGCACAGCTCATTTACATACAGATTAACACAGTTAAGAGGACCAGGAAGGCAGCAGCCTTAACAGGCGGTCAATCAGGGCGAGCCCACCTGAATGCACGCGCAGGCACAGAGTGCATAAGGCGGCTACGCCTCCTGACTGTCATCCTTTTCTCTTCAGCGAGCGGGACAACACCTTTGAAAGAAGCAGATATAAGTTATCATAGCTTCAGGGAGTCGCCACTTCTAGAGACCCGGGCCTGTCCTTCGTGCCCTGGCTTAATAGCGGGCGCCGATCCCCACCACCTCTGCTTTGAGTGTTTGGGGCCTGACCACGCCGGGGACGGCTTGAAACCTTCGCCGTCCTGCACTGCCTGCCGGGCGCTTCCACGGCTTAGAGTGCCGGGGAGGAGGATGACGAGGACTTCTCGTTGTCGGGCACTTCCGGGTCTGGCGTCCATGGAAGTCCGTCACCCTGGTCTGTGACGGGGAGCTACCGCTCCCCCCACCACTGCCGCCGAAACCGGTGAGCCGCCTCCGGCAGGGGTTCTGAGGCCCGGTCCACCCGGTGCAGCCAGCCTTCGTTTCGCCCCCGTTGCCAGATATCTTGCAGTGCGTGGAGGCGTTGTGCCAACAGCCACTGAAGACGAAGGCTCCAGTGGCTGGTATGGTGGGGATCCTCAGGGTGCAGGGCCGCACGGACACAGCGTGTCCAGGCTTGCCCCCCCGTGAGGGCGGTGGTGGCGAAACTCTCCTTGATGAGAGCTTGCCGGGCCATCTGCTCCCACAGGCAGCAGGATGGGCGGAGGGTAAGAAGCCTCTGCCCCCGTTGCCTCGTGACCGAGAGACGCTCCGGCTCGGAGCACAGATGGCGGCAGCAGCGAATAATCAGATCTCTTCTCACCCATGTATTACCAATTAATTAGATTTAAATCAAACCTAAAGGAGTGCGAGCTCCTTGAACAATCCTAATGCATTGTGGGAGTCCTGCAGGAACATTCATGTATTCTTTAGACATTCTTTTTAAATCTCCGTCTCAGTTCATGAGAGCTAAAAGCGTTCCTCTGATTCTTGGGAAATAATTGTTCCACCCTCTTCAAGTATTTCTATCTTTAACGAGCTTCGATGGGAAGCCTCAGTTTTGTTTTGGACATTTTTAAATCTGCCTGTGAAGAAGGAGAGCAACTTCCTTTGAACCTTTTCACAATAAAGGTTTGAAAATACCAGAACTTTCCTCCAAATGTCACAAAAGCATTTCATTAGAAATGTTGCATCAGCTTCAAGATGAAGGAGTGGGAATTAGAGAGGAATTAAAAAACATCTTATTGAGTTGGTCCGTCTCTAAACACTGTCCCACTTCCTGTCTGTGGCCCATTGGTTCCCACTGCAGACAGACATTATTAAAGAGTGAAAGATTTATTTGGTTTAAAATGTAATTTAGTTTTTATAAGGCAGGGGTAAACAGGAAACTCCCCAGACTTTATTTCAAATAAACTGCAGTTTTCTTCAAGGACACTTAACCAATCAGAAACACTCACGGACCACCTCCACAAACATCCAGAACCAATAGGCCTGCTCCAACAGTACAGCTTAACCTTCTCGCCTCGTTCACACAATAAATCAACAATACAAATACAACTACAGATTATATCAGCATTTAGTTCAAATAAGATTTCAAATGCTCACAGGTTTTACACCTCTTAAATGTAGACTACCTTTATTACAGAGTTTACCTCCGCTGTGGCTTTTCAAAAGAAAACACAGTAGAGCTTTGGTCTCAGTCTAGCTCTCTGAGCCCTTTGGTCACGTGAGGCTCGTCTGGGCTTTCTTTGTAAACATGCTATTAAAACATGAACCTTGGTGACGGTCGGGCTGACCTGCACGCTCTGCCCCAACGACAGCCTCTGATCAGCAACAGACTTCATGCAATACTTCATCGACGCATATATTAGAATCTCTATCTCACTCCTAACATCTGAATCTACCTCCAGCATGGATACATGTTCATCAAAGACACCCATTGTTTGTTCTATGCGCTTCTTGATATCCTAAAAACCACATCGTCTTTCTAGAACAGGGGTCGCCAGTCTCTGTTACTTTGGGGTCGCGGGCTGGAAGGTTTGGGAACCCCTGCTTTAGAGAATCGACTGCATGTTCACTATCCCACGTGTTCATGATGCGCCAGCAGACGTGCGTCTGCTGCTCTGGGGAAACTATGGAAACTACAGTTTTCTATACAGAGGTGTGTGTGTGTGTGTGTGTCTGTGTGTGTGTGTGTGTGTGTGTCTGTGTGTGTGTGTGTGTGTGTGTCTATATTGTCTCCAGGTGCAGCTTCTCCTCCAGGTGCTCCCAATCACCAATCAGGGCCTCCATAAAGGACCTGAGAAAGGCTGCAGTCGCTCTCCCCTTCT